TGCAAAACTTTTATTTCTAGAATGAAACCATGTCTAATCTTAACTTTACAAAAGCTGTATAAAAGTAACTTCTATTTGCTTACCCTTCACCTAATCCCTTGCAGCAAATGAAGGGTGTCCTTGAAGAATAAAGCACAGAAAGCATGCAGTTGTCTCAGGTTGCTAGTATGCTGTAGTGACAAAACACAGTCTGTGCTGGGAAGGTAAGTTACCAAAAATATTTCTGTGCTAGTCTTTTCTGTAGAATTATTTATACAAATATCCAATACCAGGCAGGTTTATTTTAAAAAATGACATTAATTGTGCTCTCAAATACTTAAATCCCCAAGGAGTAGTCAAATTAAATTTAATAAATAAATAATAAATAAATAAATCTGTAAAAGGAAGCAATGAAAAGCTAGAAAGTCTTAGAATTATTTTTTGCAAGATAATTCAAAAACAACAACTTAATTTACAAGTGGATGAAATGTATTAATAATGTAGCCTGATACATACAACCTGACACATACTCTTAACCAACCTATTAGATTACAGCCTAAAAGCGCCAAACATAGATGGAATTAAGAAAAAGGAAAGGGAATAAAGAACAAGAAGCAAATAACAGGCAGAATAGAGAGTAACAGACCTGAAAAACTGAAACACAACCAATTTAAATATAGCAAACAAGAGATGAGCCATTATTACATGCTAACATGATATTGTACTGTAATAAGGATCAGCTTAACCATGGTATTTAAAGCACATTTAAGCAACAGTACCTTATAGTCTTGCCCAAAATTACTCGTGATTGCTTCCCAACAACATTTTATGCAGGAAACAATGGTTGGATTTACATCAGACAGGATATCACAGTTTGTTATATCCATGTTTTGTTGCAAACTACAACTGGGTTCACAAATAATGTTAAGCCAGAGATGGGCAATCTGCAGCCCCAGGACTGCACACAATCACCAAGTGGCAAGAAAAGTCATAAAATGGGGCAAAACTCACTTAACAAATGTCTCACTAGCAACAGAAATTTTGGACTTAATTATGATTCTTTTTATTGGTCCTTGAAAGCATTTTTTACCACTGTTGCTCAAAATCAATAGTATGATTCCTGCCATTTTGGGGCATAAAAAAGAGGGCCAAATCTGCAACAGAAACCCTAAAACAGGCTTAGTTGTTTGTAGTGAAAGATACCCTTGCTCCACATTCTCCACAAAAGTCTAGGGCAGGGGTAGGCAATCTTGGCTCTTTTATGACTCATGGACTTCAACTCCCATGCTGGCTCAGGAATTCTGGGAGTTGAAGTCCATGAGTCATAAAAGAGCCAAGATTGCCTACCCCTGCCCTAGACTTTCACCAAGTGGCAAGAAAAGTCATAAAATGGGGCAAAACTCACTTAACAAATGTCTCACTAGCAACAGAAATTTTGGACTTAATCCCCCTACCCCTGGTCTAGGGGAAAAAAAGCAAGCATCCCAATGCTGCCCATACATGCCAGTAGGAACTACATGCCAATTCTGGCTTCCTTCTTTCCATGTAGGCAGCCTCTCCAGCACTCTCCCTTCCAAACTTTAAAATGTGTTTTTCAAGCCACAATAGTTGGACCAGATAAAACTTACGTCACAAAAAAAAACATGTTATGGATTAGTGCAGTGTGCGACCCAAAACACAAGTCCTATCTCCCACAATATAGGATAACTTGCAACATCAGTTTGATGTGAACACGAAACTGTGTTTTTGCTCTCACGGGTCTCTAGTAAGAAATAAAGAAAAAAGTTAAATCCCCAATGTGGATTTAATGCAGGGATCTCAAACCATTTGGGCCAAGACTTAATGGTCCATCTTAAAGGGTCCATCTTTCAAGTGGTGGGATTGGCTTATTCAGTCATAAAATGGCTGACAGCGGTATACCAAACCATTCATTTCTAAGAATAAGAAGCTAAACTGAGTTAGCTACTTGATACTTTTGTAGCTTTCCCAGGATACTCCCTAAGTATACACACCTTAATTTTTGCAAGTAATCCTGTACTTACGATCATAATTGAGTACAAAATTTCTGTTGCTAGTGAGACATTTGTTATGTGAGTTTTGCCCCATTTTATGACTTTTCTTGCCAGAGCTGTTAAGTAAATCACTGCAGTTAGTAATATGTTGTTAAGTGGGTCTGGATTCCTCACTGACCTTGCCTGCTAGAAGGTTGCAAAAGATGATCACATGACCCTAGGACACTGCAATCATCATTAATTATGAGTCAGTTGCCAAGTATCTGAATTTTGATCACGTGACCATTGGGGATGCTACAACAGTTGTAAGTATGAAAAATGATAGTAAGTCATTTTTTTCAATGCCCTTGTATTTTTGAATAAATCATTAGGCAAATTGTTGTAAGCTGAGGACTGTACTTTTTTCTCCTTGGGGAACTGGTATATACAAATCACTGAACTTGCCATTTTTATCGTCTACAAAACACATGCATGGAATGCAGGGAATCCAAGGGCACTCTTGAAAATAACGGTGATTCTGGAAGCTACATTTTGCAGAGCCATCCACATGTTCTTATGAAAATATTACCAGTGACCATTAATGATTGCAATGCCAAAGGCATGTTTCAGGGTCATAGGGTTACCAAGATATGAAAGGCTATTGCCAAATATGACATGGCTCTTGATCCTAGTACAGTGATGGCGAACCTTTTAGAGACCGAGTGCCCAAAAACTGGCCCCGTCCCCACTCCACCCCCTGCCCCGCCCCCACTCTGCCCCCCCATCCCCTGCCCCGTCTGCCCACAGGACCACTCATCGCCTCCAGGGCCCACCGCAGATCGCCCAGGCAGCCCAACAACGCTATGGCGGTCACACCCTCTGCCTTCACCCTGCAGCATCAACTGCATGATGGGGTGTGAGGGCAGAGTCTTGTCTATGCTGCGGTTGCCATGTCCTTGGCTGCGCTGCTCTGTGTGGGCCACGCTCGGGGACGACTCTCCTTCGGGGGGGCTGCTGGAGAGGAGGGGGTCGTGGGGGGAGGCAAGGCTGGGGCAACGGCGTGTGCCCACAGAGAGGGCTCCAAGTGCCGCCTCTGGCACCCGTGCCATAGGTTCGCCACCACTGTCCTAGTAAATAGTCCATGCAAACCAAACTTTAACTCACTGTTTCTAAAAATTCACATAAATCTGGTGAAAATTTTTGATTCTGTCTATAAACAACACATTTCGAAGACTCATTTCATTCTGGTTAATTCTTGGGGCTTTTTTCCCTATTACCAAAGGGGATTTAAACAATTTAAGGCTGTGTTCACTTGGCTTTCTCTTACCCCAACTAACCTGGGACAAAAAGGTTCAGAGTGCAAAGACATAGTTATCTTTATTGCACCAATTTCTTAGCAAAGGACATGATTAGATACTTGGGTGAGACATACCAATAACGTATAGTGCAATTTGGAGACCTCCATACTGACAACAGAGTTGCCTGGGGATTATTGTTAACTTGATGAAAACAGTGCTGTGCATGTGTTGCAACATCATATGAACACATGAAAGATGAAGCTTGCATTGTGATGGCACAATATTGATTTTGTTACTTTGACAAAAGTTTTATTTATTTGCTAAATTTATTTGCTGCCTATCTCGCCATAGGGCTACTATTCTGCGGGTGCTTCTGCGGGTTAGTGAAACATACACAAATGAGGTCTGCTAACTACTTAGTTAAATAGCATTCATTTTTTCATATAGTAAATAATTGATGAACAATCTGAAACTTCATAAAGTGGTTGATGAGCTGAAGAGTTTAGGGACCCTCTGATTTAAGCCAACAAGCCCACCCCCTCTGCTCTCTGTACTTGCACCAGCTATTTGCTTATTCATGTGAGCATTCCAACAAAAGGAAGTTGGCCACATTTTTGAGTGGATGGCTCCATCATTCAACCCCTCTGAATATCAATGAATTTTCTGTTAAATTAATGAATCTACCTTATCTTAAGGGTTATGATATCCTGTCCCTTTCTGCTATTTGGGAAACCAGTTGAAACCATTATTTTCTACCAAGCCTTGGAGAAGAGGCAGTAAGGACTAAGCCCTGTTATACAAAGTCCTTAATTACTATGTTTTGTGGGATTTTTTTAAAGTGTCACTATTGTTCCAAATGTTTTTCTTATTGGAAACTGCCACAGCTCTTTTAATTTAAATACTGTATTATTATTTTTTAAAAAAACCATCCTACTGGAGGTTTTTTTGGAAACAGACTCTTCTGTTTGATGCTTCTTCAATAAAAAAAGATGTTCTGGGATGGCACTATTAGCAAAAATAAAACTTTGGATGAGACTTAGTTAGAACTGAAAATTTATTGGGGCTCAGTTCTGAGTTATAATTCTTAAAGTTTTCAAAGGAAGTTAGAGTATCCAAAAGAAGGCATATCTGTTGCCACTAAAGTTTTTCTCTTACCATACACCCAAACCACACTGGAGGCATGAACAGTTCTCTTACTACTGTAGTTATATTTCAGTTCAGCTTCATGGGATCTTAACTACACAGATCAACTTTGCTTCACCTGCAACCTGAGTTTCTCAACCTCAGCAACTTCCAACTCCCAGAATTTCCCAACTATTTTAGATTATAGTACAATAGATTACAATTCCCAACATGTTATATGAGAAGTATAATTCTCGGCCATATTAAGTGGGAATTCCCGGAGTTGTAGTCCAGCATTCCTGGAGGGCTGCGGTGAAGGAAGGCTAGTGCCTTCTCCTGCTGGAGCCTTCTCTTGCTAGCAGTTGTGATTCCCTCCCCCAATGCAACAAACTAAGATCACCCTCAGCTTTAGTATTGATCAAAAGGCACCTCTTGGCACAGCTTTTCGGGCTCTTAGCCCAGCGCTCGGGGATCCAATCGCGGAGAAAAGCAGATTTTTCAAGCACTACCAAGGGCGGCGGAGGGCCAGGGAGGCTCTAAGTTGGGCTGCTCCAGCCGACGCCCCTTATTTCCCGCGTCGGAGGGCGGACGGCTTCATATGACAGCTCACCTGGGCGATCCCGGAGCCCATCAGGCCGGCTCCGACCACTGTCACATGCTTGATCACCAGCTTCTTGGCGGCTGCGGTGGAAGCCAGACGCACGAAAGGACGGGTCGCGAAAGCCATGGCAAAGCACGTTCTTGCGCCAGGAGGAGGAGGAGGAGGAGGAAACAGCAGCGGCGGGGGCGTAGCCGGCCCAAGAGGCAGCCGAGCGTGGGCGGGCCAGCGCAGACAAATCCACGGCGACGTTGCCGACCCAGAGGGCCGAGCTTCCTGCCCGCTCCTCCCATTTGCCTTCAGCCAGGAAGAGGAAGGTTGGCCAGGTTAGATGCTGGCGTCCTCGGCCCGCTTTTCTCTCTGCGGCACCTTCGGTGGTTCTTCGAGGCCGGCTTCTTTTGCAAGACTGTTGATCGACAGACCACATTTGCCAGCAAGGAAACGTCTTGCTTTTGAACTGCAGGGGGTTCTCTTTCGTATACCTCATTGTTTCCAATGAAGGAGAATATTTGTAACCCAGGGTTGCAATGAGGTTATCTAGTTAGGATAATGAAATGTCTGCAACAAAACAAGCAAGCTCAGAGAGCACCAAGGACCTTTCACCTCATTGTTTCTCAACCGTGGCGACTTGGACTTCAACTCTCAGAATTCCCCAGCCAGCATTCAGGGAGTTGAAGTCCACACCTCTTCAAGTCGCCAAATTTGAGAAATAATGAGGTACACAGATTTGCTATGGCCTAAAATTTCACCATTTATTTTTCAAGGTGTGGGGGTAATTATCGAAAGTTGTAATGGAAACATGTCTGGTAAAAGGATGCTTTTACTTAGTTAAGACCATGTTCGAGTTTGTGTATCTGCAATATAATCCTACAAATCAGATTATAACGTGGTTCAAGCATGGTTTCAACTACATGTGCTCTATTTTCAACTCACATCTTTTCTGAATGTTTAATATTTTGATGAGCAGCTCTTGAAGTAGCCAAAACTATTTTGTCAACTTAAGCAACTTTCTCGCTTAATAAAGTGAAGACGTCAAGGTTCTTGGATTTCAACTTCATTACTTGTCACTTTTTTTAAAAAAAAACATGACTTCTCTATTTAATGATGTAGGTTTTTACTACAATAAAAGCACCAAATAATTTCGTTGTATTTCCCTTCAAAAGAAAAATTAATTGCTGACACTGAAGAGCACAAAGACTCGGATTATAGGAGAGTATTTTGTTCCAATAAATTTTACAGGTATAATAAAAGCAATTGGGTAAATAGCAGTTGAGTATTTGGTAATTCTCTCTATGAAAATGCTTCAGAATGTATCTGTTAACATAATAACTGTTCCCTATTTCAGAGTTTTTCAAATTGGGGTCTGTAAAACCTGAGGATTTACCAGAAACTAATTGTAAAAAATTGTTCACACAGCTAATTCTCCATCACTTACAGCTTTGTCTCTTTTCCAAAGGCTCTGGGATTTATTTAACTACTATAAGGTTTTCTGGCCTGAAAAAATTTGAAAATCCCTGTTCTATATGATAGTACACATAGGCTTACATACTAAGTATAAATACGTGTGCAGATTTAATTTCTTGCCTGCTTCACTTTCTAAAGCAGGAGTGTCAAACTGCCAGCCCATGGGCCGGATGCGTCACAAGGAAACCACGCCCACCCCATTGTCAGCAATGGGAAAAAAGCTCCGATACGTTGCGCGACATCACGTGACATTGCGAGTTTGACATGTCTGCTAAAGGCTGGTGATTTTAGCTCTCTGCATTGTGCCACTGATTTGCTAACTTAGTTGGCTGCACTTGCATAACCCACTGAGGCATAGCATACATTGTTTGAAATTATTAGTTTGGGCAATATAGGAGAAATATACCCATTTTACAACTATTTTACATATATATGGTTCAATTTAAATAAATCATTTGAACTAAGAATTACATGGAATTGTGTAGTCGCATTTCTGTTTACAAAAATACTTGGAGAAAGATTATTAGTGTCAATTCAGCCACAAATATAAGGAACACTGGAAGAAAGCATTTAGGTACATAAACAAGATACCTACAATATAATTCTCATCAATTTGGTTTTCCAGATATTTTGTACTCCCAAGCATTTGAATAGCAATTGAGAAAGGGTAGTAAAATAATTTCTTATATGTTTAATACTCTCAGAATGTGTTTTAAATCAAAATTGTCTTCTCAATAGTCAGTTTTTAAAAATAAAACTTTATTTAGACAGATATTTTATTTTATTTATCTAAAAATTTATTTAGACAAACATATATCACACTGTCTAAATAGGCACCTTTAAAAAAAAGCAGTTCATGATTTCAGATCTTGGATTTTACATTCTCATCCTAAAATTCTAAACAAGACATTCATTTTGAAAACAACATTAGACAATATAAAGATTAGCAAGGTATAGGCAACTAATACACCCAGCTCTTACACAGGCCTTTAGTGCCTTCTAAAATGCAGAAATACAGACCTTTGGAATCTGACAAAATTATAAAGTGCTTCAGTAAAAGATTGCTTCATTACAAGAGGACGCACATGCCATACCAAGGATCAGTTGTATTTTGCCCAATAAAATTATCTGCCATAGCAGTACTCATCTAAATGTTAGTAGCGCAATTGAAGTATAAGGATTGTCGAAAATGGCCAAGTTTCCTTAAAGGATAATTCATTCTGTAAGTTAATTCATATTACACTATATCATAATGCCCTTTCTTTAATTTTTAACATTATATTGTATGAACCAGTTAAATATTGTTCATGCAATAAACCACAGGTAAGCAAAACATGATTGTTTATCAAACCTGCTGATCCATTATTCAGCTGCTCTGTGAACCGAAAATGAATGAAAACTCGCCATTCAATTGCAATTACTTTTGATTTTCCATCAAAAAATACAACCCCCAAATTTTGGCAGTATGATTTTTTTTTAATTAGGATAACATGCATGAAAAGGAATAGTTACCTTTCTTACCTTACTCCAGGAAAATTTCTCTTTTTTAAAATGCAGTTAATTTAATTAAAACATTGCAAAATAAAGTTCTTTTTGAACATGAGTAAATGCATCATTTATGTCTCTATATTGCTATGAAGACAGGAACGGGAAAGAGATTCTTTCTCGCCTGTAGAACATAAAAATGGGGTTAAATACATGTAATCTTTTTTATTATGCTGAATAGCATCTAAATGTTCATCAAAACATTCTGCATTTATGGACCATGAAATATATAGGAAATATAAGAACTAGCAATTTTTTTCCTCTCTCTACATTTTAGTATTTAAAAGTATGGGACTTAAATGTTTTGGCAAATAAGATCAGAATAAAGGTTGCATTCCTACCTATCTCTTTTATTTCTAAAGGCCTTTTTAAATTAAACTTTATGCCCCAAAATTCAAACTTAAATATTTGTCAGTTGAATTATTTTATGTATAGTTCATGCCAGAACAATTATAGCTGATCAAGACTATTCTCCAATAGAAATGGCTGAGCACTAAGGTTCTAGAGGCAAGTACAATCTCCTGCCCAATAAAACCCTATTTTTTTTAGCTATTTATCATTGTATTTACTTTGTTTTCCTGAAGCAGTACAGTTTGATCATGATAATGCTGCTTCCTATGGCATTTACACTATGTATTAAACATTTTCAATGTAGATGTTATGAATGGCTTGCTGGTTAAATCAGGTTGAGCTTAGCACTGTTCCGCCAGAAACTCAGAATGTGAGCAGTTGAGAAATTACCTAAGTTGTGCCAACAAAACATTTGCTTTTAGCAAACAATAGAGATACCATGAGATAAATCTCAGTAAATGTGTATTAAAAATTGAATTGTGGAAGTCCACTCACTGTTTTGCTTTTCTTGATTAGCACAGAGGAACAGTACTTGGGCACAGTGATGGTCATCCAGAATCAAAAATATCCCTCTCCAGCACCCGAGATCTCACTCCATCTCTATCACCTTTTAAAATTTTTGCCTTTATTAAGGATGGAACAGTCTTATGTACTGTATGTCTGATGCTTTACTTTTTTTTTTTTAAAGCAGCCTTCCTGAAGCATGTAAAAGGAGCCAGCCCAAGGATTCTAGGTGCAAGTGCAGGACAGCTATTTTTATTTTGTTTTGTTTTGTTTTATTTCCTGCTTAAAGTGAAGACAAGTTAGACTTATCCAAGAAGACACCCACACACACACACCCAACAGACTCTGGTTTTTAAGACAATTTGCAATGCCACTCAAGTTTTTAAGATAACTTGTTATGCATCTTAACTGTCTTTTTAAAAGTTCCAAATACATAAGTGCTTTCTGAATCTTTTTTTTTTTTTTGGCTTTTATATATTGTCATGTGCAAATTAGATTTCCAATATTTTCCTTTGCTTTTTATCTATTATAAAGAGGCATTTAATAACCAATAGTTCCTTTAAGTGTGGCTGCCCAACTTTCTCTTGTTACTCTGCAGCTCTTGAGGTTTACATTACTTCAGTTTGTTTCTATAGTTGAAGAGTTTCAGTATATCAAGTGGGGAACAGCCCAAGCAAAGGAGAAAGTACTTGATAATTTTTGGACACCCCGTGGGCTGAAAATTCCCTAGCCTGCTTTGGGCTAATGACTAGATTTTGGTGACGAACATTTCATTTATAGCCCTGAATTTCATATGAACATCATGCAGCATTTTTCTTGGATGTTTCCTCATCTCTTTAAGGCAATAAGTTCAAATGGGAAGGGAGCTAATGTTAGGCCGAATTTTCCTTCCATTGATGGTTTCTTTAAGTCTGCAGGATATATAAAGGTGAAACTTTGCAAAAGGCTCACAAACATCAAGAAAAGTTCCATCTTGGCAAGCTGTTCTCCCATGCACACACGTTTGCCTTTAAAAACAAAACAAAAACAAAAAAGGGGGTTATGAGAAACAAAAATGATTTTTCACAATTAATTCGTGCCTAACAGAAAACAGTATTTTTTTTAAATTTCATTTCAATTTTATTCAATTTGATGAAAGGTCATTTGCTTCAAAGAAATGATCAAATGATGGGTGGAATATTGCAACCCTCTGTGTGTATTTACTGTATCTGTATGCACATGTGAGAAAAAGTGAGAGAATTTCCTCTCTTCAGATATGCAGATATGAGGACCTTTCCTTCATTCAATCCCAAAGGAAAACATTAAAACATTTCCTA